CAGCTTCCACTGTACTAGAAAATTAACTCATTTCCCAGGACCCAGACGCAATAGCTGGTTTAACTTAATGGGAAGGCTTCTGAGTTATGTTTCGTGATTGTGACTATCTATCGTGCAGCTGACAGTTCAACAATACAGCTACAAATATTAAAAACTAATAATTTAAGCGTTATAATAGCGTTTACAATTATTATAGTGCTCACTAAGAAAAAAAAATAATAAATGTCTAAGATCCCTTGACGTACAATAATATATTACAACGTACAGGCATATATTGAATGTTTTTCGTTTTCGGCGGCGTGCAGTATGCTACGTCCTACTGCAACTATACTGCATCACGAAGACGCGTGATGACAATAATAACAAAAATGATAATAACAACATAATGTGTTATTTCCGAAGACGGTGGTGAATACAACGAAGACAATGATCAATAATCGATTACATGTTACTAATAATATTGAACCATACATGTTTTTTCTCTTCTGTGTTTTTAAAACATCTGCTCTCAGTGTGCTAGTGTGTGTGCGTGTCATGTGTGTAAGTGTGCGTGTGCACGAGTTGATTGCCCTCGATAATACCGTTATGTGAACCACTGACATTCTTCCGTCGCAGCATTGCAGCCGCCGACCACCGGCCCTGTCGCGTGCTCTCATCCGCCATCGTAATATTCGTAAATCGTAGATTTATAGTTTGAAAACAATAGGCCAACCGACCATTTCCTTCGTACCTGTGTGTCTACAAACACGCACTCAATAATATGCATGTTGCGAATAATATTATATATTTTTTAAAAACGTGCGTACCTACACGCTCCTCAGAACTCGATCGACGACTCGCCCGATGGGTACACACAACAAACATCATCCGTGACGTACCTGTCGGCTGTCGTCGTGTATAGCGAATAACGATTGGTAATGTTGTTTCGGTAATGCGGTAATGAATAATGAAAACTATGACCATATAATATCATAAGTCTGAAGACTCGAGATCTTCGTTGTTATGGTGTCGCTTTGTCGGAAATGCCTATCCCGGATTGCAGCGTAATCGCCGGCCGTTCTCATTCAATACATTTTGAACGGGACCGATCGACAAAAAAATGTTGGAGTTTTTTCAGGGCATGGACCAGTAGCGCCTAACATACAATTTGTATTTTAGGGTCAGTATAAAAATTGCAGTGCATAGGTATATTTTACCGTCAATGCATCGATTTTTAGAGAAAAAAAACTCAAATGATTATTGATATGTGGCCAATATCCTGTAACTATATCGAGATTTTAGTGAAACATCATTATTTTACTATTATATCTAAAAATTAAAATATGAATTTCAGTAATAGGCGAAAACAAGTTTTCTATATCGGTACGGACGGTACCTATTTATCGGCCTAATTGGAAGTGAAATGGTGATTTTGGTGATATATTAAATTGTTATTATAACGTATTTTATGTGTATTAGGTGTATATGAATTATTATAAGTTTACTAACTATTGATGTATATTCTATAAACATTGGAAAAATAGACAAACAACATTTTTTATTTAATCTGAAAAATTCTATTTATTTAAATTCTATACTAAATAATATTTATTAATACAAATTTTTTTTAAAGTACCAATACTACTTTACGTATATTGAATAATATTATAGTAATAATTTATTTAATTGTAATTATATATTTAATTATGTATATTAGATTACCTAATACCTATAAATGTTTTATTAACGTTCATGTTCATTATATTTAAATAAAAATAATGTTACGTGCTATTGAATAAAATAATATTATTAGGCTGTTATTTAATGCAATAATTGGTCTTTCAACCCTGAAACCCACAACTGTTGGTAGGTAGGTAGTATGTATCTTAATGTAAAGGTCTTTTCATAACACAATTGGTAAACTCCGTTTTGTTTATATATTACTTTTTAGTTTTTTCTGCACATTTACATTTTTGGTCAAAATTCCGTCTGTATAATATTATAATAGGTAGGTATGCATTATTTATATATACATGTGACATGCTAATCGTATAGTATAAAATAACTGTACCTACAGGTTTTATACACACCTATATGGCTCTATACATACCCAGCCATTATCATAATTTTTAAATATTTAAACGCAATTACCTGTTTTAAGTCTTAATATCTACGTATTATGTAATTTTATATTTAAAAATTAAAGATATAGATTACCGACTGTAAAACACAAGTTCAATACTTTACTTTTAAGATGAATTCTATAGCGTTTGTGTGCTTATATTAAAACGATTTAATCATCATGCATACAAATATGGATATAAATTTCTTGTCGTACCTAATAATATGGTCTAGTGATGGACAGCGCACTTGACTGGCTTACGTTGCCGTGGCGAGTCTACGCAGTTGATGGCGACGACGATTACATTTTATCCCTATTAAGATTCGATCTTATTAATATATAATACTCGCTGGAGTCTAGCAAAAATCGTGTTACTGTATGAGAAAATCTGCATGTCTCAGTTTAGTTCGTACATGTGTACGACTGCGTGTGCAGTACGTTATGTTTTTTTGAACAATGTCGGCCAAAAATGTCTATTAATTAATTGTTCAGTCTCGGAAACAAATACTATCACGTTCTTAAAGGAAAAAAGATTATTCATTCAAATTGACACTTGATGGTATTTTGCATATGACAGTTAGATAACGGCGTGAGACGATTAAGTTTGTAAATGTTATTGAATGATGTTTATATTGTATGATATATATATTTTTTTATTATTTACAACAATTATTGTTCAAACATTTACGTATTTATAATGGTATTCGGCAAATTACGTATAAACAGTGATCTACAATAAGTTTTGAAAATCTATTTACTCGTCTGTTATGATAGCTTATCATGATAAATTGCAAGTATTTGTTATATGGCGAACAGGCTTATAAGTATCGATAAAACAAATGAAAAATCAATTGTACGAGTATTCACGCGCAAAAACTTAATAATTATCTTATTGAAGAATAAATTAAAACTAAAAATTAAAAAATTAAATTAATTAAACGACTACGTTGGGTCGTAGAAATAAATTATGTACACGCCCACGCTCAAGTAAACTATAGGTATGTAAGAAAATCTACTTTATACTATTTTATACGATGTCGCTATTAAAAAATAAAAATAACCACTAATGTGATGAACAAAATACGCTTCTAAAAGCGGTATTCATTAAAAGTCATTAATTTCGTGGTCAGTTTTTACGATCGGTTTCATTTACTATTACTGTACTTGCCTAATTACAAAAAGATTAGCTTTCAAAGTATCACTCTTATATCGTACAGCATCTGATTCTCGCGAATTTAAGTTAGCTCGACGGGTTATTACAGACTTAAAATAAACCTTCGAGACGATAGCACTTACGCGAGAACTACGGCCATGGAATATTATCTATTATAGCCATGACATGAAACGACTTCTTTTAAATTAATATTTTATATTGTGGAAAATTATTTTAATTCAAATAATTATTCAAAATCACCTTCTTTTTGGTCATCACCCATTACCTATTAGTCGTTAGGATTAGGTACTCATTGAATCCTGAAACCCCCAAAAAATACCCCCGTCTATTAACCCTTATGGAAAATCCTTAATATTGTGTGAATTCAAAGTTGTATACCGTTGGTATAACTGTACAGTGTATTGTATATAGTATAATAAAACTGTAACAAGATCGTACACACCGTGTGTTCAACGGAAAACGATTCAACTCTAAATTTTGAAATTAATAAAAATATGTAAAGAGACGACGTTTAATCTATGATTTTTCTTTTTTAAATCATTATTGTTATTAAAATTTATAAATTTCCCGCCCTGCGTTTCTAACCTCAGGACACATTCGAATCTAAAGGCGAAAACCGTTCAAGAAGAACCAAAACTATTTTTTAAATAAATATAATGTATGTCAGAAACTCGTCTAACGTCACTCACGCCAATGTGGATACAGGTAGATGCCGTTTTAATATTTAAAATTATTATCTCATTTAATACCTAACCTATCCTGAACAGAGTTCGGTAAAAATCACATTTTTTGACATTAGGTTTTAACTTTAACTACGGTCAATGATATCGTTTATCTATTTCTCTTACTCTAAGGTAAACTTTCAAATAAAAATTTACCTCTAATAGAATGAGGTATACTAGGTAATTACTATTTACTATAATTCAATTCGATTTTACAATCATCAAACATGACCATTTGACATTTTTTAAGTACTCTTTTAACAAAAAAGTGTTAGTAGAAGTAAAATATTTTGAAAAAAAACAGCATCATTGTAAAATCAATAATACATTATTCACTTCATTCAAAGTTTAAAATTGAATACTATCGGACGGCGGCAAATGTCACTGCAGAACAATACAATTATTATTGAATATGATATTTGCCGCTGACTGCGGTTTCATACTAATATAAGAAGAGTGATGATTAATATTAGTACATTATATATAAGGTGACTCACAAAGCACGTTCACCGCCCCATTTCTTCGTTTAGTAATGAATTTATTCAGATTTTGATTTTTGAAGTTATCAACTACAATTAAAGGCAATAATTTCAAATACTAGGGTTTTTTTATTAAGCAAACTGCTGTTTGTATATTTTGTTATTTCACAAATGAGAATCCCCTTCCTTCCACTATTGTTTGTACTGTAAATTATTTAGTGGATTATTTTTTGGATTATTGTGATGTACCTAATTCAAAACTATATAATATACTATTTGAATAACTACATTATTGAAGAAAAAATGGGACCAGCGTGATTGGTGAATCATCCTGTATACTAAAACACACTACAAGATAAACTAGAGCAAAATAATTTATGAATTATGCACGTACTTAATATGTAGGTTATGTATCAATTTCAATAACATACAAATTATTACAAAAATTTAATACATACGATGTATCATATAGATATTTATTTATGAATATGGTAAAATGTTGGATGGCATATATAGGAATGAAAAAAAGTTATTCAAATAACGTATAATTATATATACCCACTGTTACACATAGGCTGTTCATAATAACTGAATAATAGAAACTCAATTAATATTTTTAAAAATACAACTATTTCATAATATTATCATTCGACAGTGGTAGGTAAAAATCACATTTTCCGTGAGTTTTATTTCTTAACGAAATCACTCAAAATACACATAAATATTAATTGAAAACAATTTGATGTCTATGATATTATATGATAGATTTTGTCAACAATATAATAACTAAAGTGTATATAATATTTTATAGCGATTCGCAAATAATATACTACCGAGTCTTAAAATGCACATGAGTTTCGTAACGTTATGTGTAGACTAAGGGTATTTGATTTCCTGTTAACAAAAAAATCATTACCATGTCAATGTATCATAATATATGAAATTATTTGAAATAAATCATACTTCTGATGGCACTGTGCCGGGGGAAATTTGGTATTCACAAACCCTAAGAGTTTTGTTTTACGACATAATATATATTACAATAGTAAAGTTTATCAGTTTAAAAAAATTAATAATACAAATTTTAAATATTAACAAAATTAGTCTAAAAAGGACCTTAACTACGAAAAAGTGAAACAATTAATCTCTTAACATAAAAAGTGTTTTTTTTTCATTTTATGAAAACAGTAATTTAGCTACTGAAGAACGTATCTGCGGGGACGTGAGTCAGTAACTGATTTACTATCCTCTTGAAAATAGCTGCCAATTTGGTTCGGAGTTGAGGCATCATTACTTGTAATACTTCTTGGCCATTTTCACGCAAAAATAAGTTTGTAGCTTCAACTAAAAAATTTAATCAAACATTAAATTTAGTTTTATTTAATAAAATCTCGTTTTAATAATAAATAGCAGGTAGTTAATAATTATTGATTTATCTTAGAATGAAATGGGTAATAATAATAAACTACAACATACAAGCATAATATTATAAATCAAGTCTCGTTGTAATATTTTAAACAGTTGACTCACTCAACTTATTTTTTGATTTAATTAAATTAAATACATTTATAATTGTATGCGTGTTTTATATTGGTTTTATTTATCCTGTTAACATAATTTATTTAGTGTAAGCACATATTTTATACTCATCATGAGTTATAACTAAATACTGGGTTTCTATATTTCTCGGTAGATACCTATAATATTTATTTATTTTTTGCACTCACCAATTATCCTATTGTTGTTGACTTTGCTGACAACCATGTACGCTTTTTTTATGACTAAATCTACTTCCAAGAAGTCCAAGTTGTAATATTTTTCGGTATCTTTGTAATAACTAGACACAATTCCTTTTGCTGTAGCAGTGACATCACCTAAAATAATACATTCGATCATATTGTTATTTTAATGAAAATGGTAAGTAGGTTTAATAAAAGCAAATAAATATTCAAATGTCTGTGCAAATTAAACAAAAACATTTTCAAAGTTATAAAAGTCCTATTATAATATTATAATATGTCAAACATAGTACCTATATTTAAAAAAATGTATAATTACATAATTATTTAATTTTAAATTATTAATCCCAGTTTTTTTGGGGGGAAAGTGAATATAGATAGTTAGATGCAAATTAAATCGTATAAATCGGTTTTTTAATTGGGAGTTATTCAATACCCGAGATATAAGTGCGTTCATGACTCTTAAGTCCTTGCCAGGAACAGTCTTGTAAATCGTAAACAATTATTGTAGGTAGTTACGTAATTAAAAGGTAACCTTGTCCTATAGTAAAATTCTGTTATTTGTATTGGTAATTTATATCTTAAAGAATAACATACTGATTTCTCGCTAAACATTTTTAGAAACGTATAATAAAATAAACAAACCTAAATCTGCGTGAAATGATCCATTTCCGTTAGCAGGCAGCACTAATAACACTCCAGTGCTGGCATATTTTGCGTCCATAGTCATTTTTGGAATTCTGACTTTACCTTCAAATGGTGCATTCGGACGCAATCTAAATTAAAATAATTATAAAATGCTTTTAGTCAACTATAAACGTATAGTAACAAATAAAGGTTGTTTTACTTAAAACCACAAATATAATTTTCAACTACTAAAATAGCATACCTAATCAGAAAACCACAACGATAATGTGTTATAATAGAATAAGTTACATGGTTATTCATAACTTATAATACAATATTTTTTTTATTAAAATGATTTTATTTTGTAATTTAAACAATTTTTAATAGATACATACTATTACTTTATGAATCGCAAGTGCAATATAGATGAAAGACATAGAAGTATTTCATCAAAATAGTCTTTATTTGTACTCATTTAGTCATTCATTTGTTGGTTTATTAAACCATTATTTTGGCGCCTATAAAATCGGAAAAACTATTGTTGGTCTGCACATAGCGTGGCAGTAGCGAAATTGCATATACATGACGCCTTCATAAGATAATTATAAACTGTTAAGTTTGTTTTAGAATTAAATTAAATACTTTAATAATTGTACATCAATATCAACGTAAAATTTAATATCAAAAAATCTTAAGAAAATATTAATCATTTTAGTTGTAAACTTCAATACGACATAAAATGATACTTTTTATATTTATGTACCTGTGAATATGTATATATTTTACAGTTATATACGTAAATTAAATTGTTAAACTCAGTAATCTAAAAATAAAATGTTACTGACTAATTCAATAAGTAATGGAAAATAAATTATATGAAAGTCAAGATTGAATGAAACATATTACTATTTATTTATGTACATATACTACGTACAGCTGATTTCGTCGTGGAATAAATGAACAAATATAAAACACACCACTCGGCTGCGCATTATGATTTAAATTTATATGTATATGAGTTCACAGGTTAAGTTGGTGTAGGTGTATCTCACTTAGTAGACAAATCTTACCGGAGTGGACAATCCTACGGTGGATGGTGTATTTTCCATTTAAGTATAATTATACTTCCCGAGAAAATCGGTTTAGATGTATCTCCGACGGAAAAATAAATAGCAGATGTAAACAACACTAATTTTAAGTAGATCAAATTAGTAGTTTGATTGAAAGGCATTTTGTTTTAATTCGCCGAAAAAACCGGCACATGGTGACATGGATATTATATTTCTATTTCATTACTCAATTTCCCAGGGACAGGAATTTTATCCACACAACTGCGCTTAAGACCTGCCCAGAAGTGTGTTCTGCAGTAAATATATCATTAATTATTAAAAACCAGAATTGTAAAAAATGTTTTTAATTTAAGTCCCCCATCCTTACAGAGATTTTGGATCCACCCTTGACAGTGTTATACAAATTAGAAACTAATCATCTTTCCAATATCAATTACAATTAACAACTGAATACTACATAGGGTCTTATTAATAAGTAAAAACCAATCAGTTGCTTATTCATTATATAAATTATAAATAAATAAATATCATTTCAAAAATAATAACAATAGAACAACTCTAGTTCTAGTAAGTAGTAAAAACCATAATTGAAAGTTGTCAAAATTAAAAATAATATGCTATAATAAACACTGCAGTTATGAATAGGTCGACTTAAAGGTTAAGCAAATGAGGATGACTGTTAAATTAAAATACTACTATTATAGTGCAAAAAAACTATTGTTTAAAAATATCATCGAATTTAATTTTTTTTTTTTTCATTAATTATTATTCAATTGTTCAACTTTTCATATTGATTTAATAAATAAATTAAAATCATGGTCAAATAAAATAATATAAAAAATCAGGTAAGTCGCTCTGTTACCGACAAACTATTTAACAGATTTCGGATGTATCTCGTCATTGAGAATAGACCACTGTAATGGATGTTTATTAAATTTGAGTTCAATGATGAATCATTCCACACTAAAAAAAAACATTCTAATAAAAGACGGTGTGATAACCTCTATGACTAAGGATATTTTAAAATGTATTTTGATTACTATTAGTAATAAAGTACTTTGAACTTTTTTTTGCAACTAAGAACCACGGTCAAAGTTGAATATTGGATAATTTGTTTCTATTTCTAAATGTGATGTTTAGAAAAAACACATCATTGTAAAACACTTAGACCAATTTATTATATTCATCCTTCCACTGAAAATCTAAAAGAGCACAAGATAAATAATCGTATCAAAAGATTATCTTCTCAGTGTGTACCTACTTTAATAACTAATTACTATTTGGATGTCGAAGATGAATCCCCACGACATCAATTTTTGGGCCCATGTACTGAATAATTTTGTAGGCTTTATTAAATATATTTTAGTACTAAATATAAGTGCTGATATGAACATTTCAACATTTCAAAAATTACAAATTCATTTCAACGGGTACCTGAAATAGCAGGGCTCCTGAACTCCGGGTCCCAAAACGACCAATATTGTAGGAGCCCTGCCTAAGATATTTGATTAACTGACGTCATATAAACTTATATGAAAATCCTTTTACCAATATAATCTACATAAAACCTTTTATAATTTCTCAATTTATGAAGCTGTTTTTCGAGAGTTTTACCTAATCAAGATAATAAATCGAATACAATTTTTTTTTTTTTTTTATTAATATTGATCTCTACCTATATTTTTATAAATTTTAATAATGCATTAAATTATTATCTTTTTCTAATATATACATTATACATGTATTATTGTATTATGATTTATGAATACACATAATACGTAAGTTAGGTTGAACAAGTAGCTTTTGATTGAAACAATTACTGTCTATTTACTGCTTTTGTCACATTACGTTTTTTGGTCGTTATTATTCCAACTATAAGAATACTTTATACTCGTACACTAACACTGCAATAGTTTAACTTACAAAACTTTTTGAATAGAGAAATTGCTGGCTCCAAACAAATCAATGTCTCTCAAAGTGATTTTGTAACCATTAGATCCACCGGTAATTGCTAAACTCAACGAATCCATTCTGAAAGGTTCCACAGGTGGCAATTCGATTTCATCGATTCCTATAGACAGAAAATATTATTTTCAATTAAATCGAATGAAAAGTTATTTAACTAAATTAAACCTTCAATTTTTTACATATATATTTTTTTTAATTAGATTTATAGCTAATTTTAATAGTTCGGCGCTTAAGGCTTATAGCATACATCAATTTGAATATGAATATATAACTACATCGTAATAAATAATAACTTACACATAGGCACCAAGGTAAAAATATTTAATTTTAAAACCTAAATATTCAAAATATTACTGTTAACTGCATTATACTCATTATTCGCTATTCGTTAATTATAATGTTTTTGTTTTAAAATTATATGAACATTATATTTCTGGTTTTGCACATATAACACTAATACTTAACAGATACCTTCGTGTACGTCTTAGCCTTTCGGTAAACCTATATAATGGATTTTTAAAAAGAATGAAAGTAGGTAACATCTCATCTGTTGTACAGAAGGTGACGAGTGTACTTCGTGCCACTGAATAGGTCACATAATAGAAGTGTTCAATATGAATTTAATGATAAAATAGCCCTGGAAATTTGATACAAAAAACTATTCTGACGGGAGATGGTAGAGGCTGTCAGCCTATATTACCTATGTATATTGTATGATATAGTTATTTATATGTTGATATTATATTAATTTATTTTACTAAGAGTAATGCGGCAAGTTTAATTAATTTTAGCCAAAATTGTTGAATTCATATCATTTATATTATTATTATTAATAGTTAACTTTCAAATCAATGACGACTTATCGTGTAGTAAGAAAATAAATTTTGTCAAAAACTAGTTTTAGGTAAAAATGTCTATTTTTCATAATATTATTTTTTTGGTTTTAAATGTACTGGGAATTTTTACTTTACACCATTATAACCACCCACAGTACTATCCGGATTCACTTTCCCGTCGGAAAATATCTATAGAAATTGAATATCGTAGCATTTTTTTCTGCTCCAAAAGGCGATGACAGATACAAAAATGAAAATGTTAGTCAACAATTTGAAAAAAAAAATACACATCATTGTAAAATGAATTTATTCATCGCTCCACTCAGAATCTAAAATAAAAACAATAACATAATGTTGTTCTTATTGCCATGTGTACATGTACTATATTGGGTATTTCATCCAGTCGTTGAGAATGTTATGTCAGCTAAGACTCAAGAATGATTTCCGCTTATTTATGTTTATAGTTTTGAAATGAAAATCACTGTTATTACTTATTATTTATATTTGTTTGCTACTCTCGTGTAGGATTTACGTTTAAGTATAAACAATTAATTATTACCGTAGTTCATAAGGACGAGCGATATCGTTTCCTTGATAACTTTATACTTAGCAAATAATTTCGTGTTATGGTTGTAATTTCAGAAGGAAAATAAACGTTGTTTTTCAAACATTATAGTAATAATAATAAATAATAATAATTATTATTATTATTATAACAACTCCCTGCAGCACCGCGACGGCGGCAGTAGGTACTTGTAGTTACGCGACATTGACCGCATTTCTCGCATTACGTCATAATAATTGGTATGATCGAACGAAGAGTGGATGACCCGTATCGTCTCCAGGGTCCAATACGACGACTGATTCAATTAAAACCATAATACAAATAAAACATTATGCGATATAGGTACACTATGATAGTAATCACGTCATAAACAATACGCTTACAATTATTATCGTCAATTAATGTTGTGATTATGCCTAGGTGCCTATGTGTAATTTGTTTACGAAGCGTACATCGTGGGAACGCATGATAAGTACAGTACAGACATTCCAAAATAATATCACTCACCTTCTTTCAAGTACGGTCTTAAATGATTGATTTCCGCTGCGAGACATTCATTGAGCTTAGGGTCGTTTCGGATGCATTGTTTTATGTAAGGCGCTGTAAAACATTATAACCACGTTAAAATATTTTTGTAATCGATTTGTATCATAGTTGACATCATCTTATAAACTAGGTAGGTACTCTAATATTGTATAATCAACGGTTACATTGAGAGGTATGCCCCTCGACCATAATGACTGTAACGCGACTTACAACAACAAAGAAGAACAATGTGTTTTTGTTATATCGACAAAACACGCATTTTGAAACAAAAGATGATATTAGTTATACTGATTATATTTTTTTTTTTCAAACATTTGCTACTCTTTATGGTTTACCTATGATCATGACTAAGTAATACAGAATTATACACGGAAAACCCGTATTCACATTAAATGTATTATTAAATTTCACTTTTTATAAGATCGCAAATTTATTCACAATTTTAAATAGGTCGTAGTGATCGCATAAGAACCTTTTAATAACTACTTAATATATTATATCTATATAAACTATGAAGCAATAATAACATATCCATACGTTTATAGTAAGAAAATAATACATTCACTGAGTATAACTTGGATAACATTATCTGCAGAACGGACAATGACATCAAACAGGAATAAAATGTTATAACCAAACGTGCTTTTTATAAATCAAGAAACTCGTATTAATTTAATTGTACTGAATTCTGAAACGATTAAATAATAATAATTGGATAAGCTTTCAGACATACCTCATAACTCACAAAATAAACGAAAAAAACTATAAAACAGAAAAATAAATTTCAACTTAAATCTAAAACAATAAAAAAAAAATTATAATATTTTAATTGGAAATTATTATACTATTATTACTTATGACTCATTACATTTAACCTTAATCTTTATACTTACTTATTGCTGATCAAGGAAATTAAAAAAAGCTTAAAATTTTTGAGTACATAATATAAGACCTATTATTAATGGTGTATAAATAATAATATAAGGATGAATAACAGTTTATATACATACTATTTCATACATAATAATTGTAATAGAAAACTTAAAAACGACCAAATGTTATCATAGATCATTATTAATAAATTACAAATTGTTTTATTTTAAATACAAATAGCTTATAACCTATAGGTGTGTTATTTTTTAATTCCAATGAATTTCTAATGAATTTTATGATGATTTGGCGTGTATGATGATGTATAGGTTTGTTCGTATGACAAATTAAATTGTATTTATTACCTAAACAATATATATTATTTAGGTTTTTACTAATAAGTCATAACACTTTAATGTAGCATTACAAATGGTGTGTTTTTAACTTACTCACTCTTTTATTAAAACGTACTTAAAAAATTTAAATACCAATCAAACAATAACTATAAAATATATTAAAAATTTTAGTAATTATTAAAATTAATAAGAAGATAGTTTGGCCGGTCGGTAAAATTAAAATATACAAATATTAAATATAAGATAACTTGTAACACATGCATTTGATAAACCGAACTATCTTGAATTTGGTTGGTTAAATAAAATATCATAATATACTAAGATACACTTAAAAAAACATTGTTCTTTATTATTATATGTATAAGTATATGCTTCTATGTATAAATTGTATTGCATTGTATTGTACTGCATTGTATTATATCGCAAGGAATTTCGAGTTTAAATGTATAATTTGCTTTGTACCTACCATCAGGTATCATTGGAATACACAATAAGATGTTTATATTCTTTTAATCGTTCAAGGATTAATTCCATAAGCCAATAATAATAATAATATTTTCAAAAACAAAAAAAAACGATTTAATATTTTATTCTGAAGGAGAATGGTGTTTCTAGTGGAAACCATAGATTATTTCTCAAACAATGTGTAGTTTCAACGTGTTCGGTTATATTTTTCTCGTGCTTGAGAAATTTAATTTGAAACGAATCAAATGAAACGCGATCGTCATCACTCATCGTAGTATTAAGTATTATAATACTATAGGTAGTACCTATACACATGACATTCACTGCGTCCGTGGAGCCGGGAGTTTTGGACGGACAACTTAAGTTTGATGAGAAAATAATTTCGCACACGAACTGCGAAGCGACAAATCGCATTATTATTATAATATTGTAATATATTGCACTCATACGCATAAACACTGTCGACCTTCACATCGCGTGTACGCAAATAGTAGTTTTCGATGTCCCGCGACATACGTCTGGATCATATAGGGTCACCGCCACCGATACAATAATATATTATTATTAACGATGTATGCACTCGGTATTGCATAAAACGTCCACGCATTTAATAATAATATAATATATCATGGGTACCTGCATTACCTACATTATAAACAAATACAACATCTGTACACGACGAGTTTCTTCACCAAACGCCTTTTTTCTGGTTTCACAAGTCTTACGATATTATTGCCCCCATCGCTACACGACATGGCACTGCACGGGCAGGAATACAGGACATTATATTACATTGTACCAATATACCATATTACCATCATAACCAGATAACCGTATACGAATGCTGAGTGGTAATAAGTGTATTATAAACGTTTAGAGTGATTTGCCAAACCTATTAAATATTATTTTGATCAGCATACATTTTATCCTTTGACTATAGGTAAGTACATGATGTAGGTACTCAATTTTTTTGGAATTTTTTTAATACTATCATAATTTCAAATACTTGAGTTTTTTATGCACCATTGTTGTACACAAATTAATATAAAGCATATTATGTGATATTTACTCTTCAGTATGGTCTAGACAGAAGTCTATCACTTACAAATGATTACATTCTCCCAATAGTTCCAAAAATTTAACATTGTAATGGTTATTATTGACAAGCCATGTTTACCATGATATTTCTAAATCCTCAAAATATCCTCCATATCTACTAAACATATCGGCGATTATATCGAGGATTATTAAATATCATTATAATTGCAATATTGAATTTTCATTTAGTTGCATCGACGTTTTCCAAATATTAAAAGCTTACAGTAAAACAAAAGGTTATACTCAAATATACCTATATAAAAATAAATACATTTGTATCGTCTAGTAGAAAAAAATGGTCTTTGAGTATATAGTTAAGAGTCCCGAAAAATCTCAAATGCATTACAAAATGTGATGCTAGATAAATCGCCATGTATGCATGTTAGTAAACTGTATCCGTTGACAGCTGCATCTTCGGTGGAATCGAAAAATCATTAAATTCGAACTGGCGCGGTGGAGTAGTCTATCAGTACCTACGAGACCTAGTCCTAGTGTGACGGTATTCATAATAAATAATAATAATAATATAAACCATTTGAAAACGTTCTTATCGTGAGGGGCTATTAGCCAACTTCGGGTCGAGCACCGGGTCGGTGCCTGCATGCATAGGTGCGTCTCGGGAGTGATGCAACGCCGGCGGTGACTGTGGCTATACCGACGGCAGTACCGGTCCTCCGCGGCGATTCAAACAGGTCGATTCGAACGCGCGACCGGTTTTTCATTCGATCCATTATTATTACTATATTTTCACTGTTATTGTAATTAACGTTTCTCGTCACCGTACACAATATTGATTGTAAAATATACCTGTTCTATTATATTATAATTTATATTACATTCAAAGTAGGTGTATTATAAGATCCGATAGCGTACGTTTGGGCGATTGGATATCATGGAAAACGTCATAAAACAGAATTGAAAAACTAATCGTTAAAAACCATCGTAGTAAACGGACGCAGATTGTGCGTAAGCTCTCGAGTGGTCCCCGTAGGTGAAGATTTGAGGAATGATTTGAATCAGAAAGCACAGTGCGCACCTACTATTCAAAAAGAACTCGAAAAAAATATTTTTACAATAACAATAATAATTAAACGAATAGTATTATATCGATGTTATTCGTCAGAAGTATATATTAATGTATAGACGTTGAACTGCTTAGTTCATGAAATGCGGTAAATGTAAAAAGTTGTAGCTCATTCTTAAACTACTGTGCAACTGCTTTGGCCTATAGTTACGTTGTTACGGTCTTATATAATACTATATTCGTACCAACGACCTAATTAATTACACTGAACTTCAGCGTTTATGTATTATTACTGCGGTTTTACATAAAACTATTTACAAAACACATTACAAAATATTTTATAATTGGTATATATGATATGTATTATGGAATATTAAATATTATACTATTGGTGCAAACACCAATACAAACACACATATAAAAATATATAAACTGTTGATGCAACACGTTTTTATCGGTCATCTGTGGAGTCGTCGTAAGATAATTATATTATCGATTGTGACTTACGGCTAATCTGAACGACAGTTATTACCAGCTGTTTTCGCGACGGTTGTAATTCGTAATACTATGAAAGTATGAAACTATGTGCAAAATTGAAAGGATAAATTTAATTAAGATAAACATAGAAAATAATAATTACGATGCACACACGCCATATAGTGAAGTACACTAGGAAAAATCTGCAATTAAAATATTTTGTCAAATATTTACACATAGATAGCAGGAATATTAAGATAAACCTATCCACGACTAACACACCATATTATACAAATATGTACTAATATATGCGACCCCGGGGTAAATGGTGCACAGCTGTGGTAAAGATTTAAGACTGAATAAATACCGAAACATTTCCTTTGCATAAAATTTTAAAGTGTTATTTGGTATATTAATAAATAATAATAATTCATAATATGCAGGCAGGCAGACGTCTGAAAAATAGTGTCTGTAATAATTATTAATAATTGCGCATGTCACGCATAGCAATTTTTGGACAACACGTGATGATGATAACGAATTTTGATTAAAACTAGTTTTTTCTCTTTATCTTTCAATTTTAAGAGTCGTAATAATTAATTCGGTCCGTGTGTAAAATATAATGTCGTGGCTAATCTTAAAAACTACTGCAATTATTACCTACTACTTGCAAACTGCAGATTGAACCTATAATTATTTGTAATAACTTTGAAATCGTACACAACTACGAACGGATTGTATTATTATACGCCAAGATAAATAGAAAATACGAGACATTCGCTAAAAAAAACAAACTATTCTATAATATAACGATAACATTATATTTTCGTATCAATATACATAGCAAATAACCTGTAACACACTAACGTGCGCAGATATATGCTGTAGAATAAAGTCAATAGAAAGATACCTATTACATATAGTTACATAGAATTTTATGGTGTTGCAGTTTTATTTAACACGCAGAAGGCAGTTTATCTGAAATATGAAATTTAAATTTGTAATAATATTTTTCATGTCACACATTATGATCCATGACAAACACATCGGTAATAATAACGTATAATAGGTTTTTTTCTACAATTTAATTTTTGTTTTGTACAGCAAATCTTAATAATGGAAATATTAGTATAGTTCATGTATGATATTTTATACATTTTTCTATTGGTTAAATTATACGTCATACAATATATTAGTTTATAATCAACTTTAAGTATTGATTAATTTATTATGTATGTATACTTTACACATTGAATACACTCCGGTGTGTACTCTTAAAGGCCAGTATTTTGTCTACTTCATAAATTGAGCAGTATCTGGCGTGCAAGGATGTATTCGAATTTCGAGTGCATTATTATAGACGATCAAAACTGTGTTTTTAAAACGTGTTACCAAATCGAAGAATATTTAAAATTTTTCCAAATTACATGCAAGAACAACCTATACTGTTTAAACACTAAAAAGTACAATGAATTCTATGATTGTGGAAGTCTAATTTTCAATAATATCTAAGTTATGATTAGGACTTGTACCACATGTTGCACTCATGGGTGGTTTGTTGAGTGTTGACGACTATGTAACGAGCAGATTTAATAATGTGACCCACTTGTCGTCGTCGTCGTCGTCGTCGTCGTTTTTCCACTCTCACTGACCCGCCAACGTGCAGTCGGCAAAAACAGGTTTTTGTGCAGAAAAGTAAAAACAACGCGTCCCTTAGATCGTGATAAAATCACTTTTGCGAACCAAAATACAATTTAATTAACAAATGACAAATTTTAGACTTACGAATGACTTTTGACTTTTCCGCATGGACGTACACCATGGCGACGGCCACGATAAAAATTGTCTGCAGGTAGTCGATCATCGTTGAGCAGTAATCGACACGGGTATTATAGTTGGTACACGACTGAGGGACTTAGACGTGTGGTTTTTCGGGGAGAATTTTTGGTTTATGAAGAAATATAAAAACCAATGGATTCAAATAAAAAAAAAAAACTAAAAATCGCGAAATCGCGAAATTTGAAATGCACAAACGGTGGGCGTAAAATCAAAATCAAAAAACCGGCGATGACAGCAAGGAACGGTAATGATGTTAAATATTATTACAATACGCGTATGTTGTACTGTTGTATCGAATACCCGACCGCGACAATGGCAGGTAATAATAATAGTTTTTATTTATTTTATTGTATGCGCGTTTTATTATGTTTAACTGAATAAATTAATATTAATATAACAATATATGACGCGTGGCTGGCTGGCTGGCTGGCTGGCTGGCGTTGTGACGTTCGCAGACTCGGCCGGGACAGTGGCCAAGAAACGGCTTTATTCGGTCGTCGTGCTCCCAGAGGATCCCTACCATCGGCGCCGCAAAACCCTACTCGTCTGCCGACAGGCGCCCGCGCGGCCGCTCTACGCCGCATAATAATATTAATGGTGGTGCGGTTTTTTATTATTATTTTTCGATTTTTTTTTTTTCACCGGTTGCGAAATAATATCAAAACATACACCTGACGCCGATGCACACACATATACCTACCTATACCTATGCGCATATAATATCATTATATATACATCATTATAAATAGGACTGCGTATTGCTTTCTCGCCTCGCGATATTTATCTCGTCCGCTGCAACGTTTTTTTTTTTTTTTTTTTTCATAATATTATGTTATTTTTCTTTCTTTCGAGACGTCTATAATAGTACGATGTGGAAATGGGTAACGCGGCACACACGTAGCGGCTAAAGTTCAAAATTCCAAAGACTACTACAGATATAAACGATATTAATTATCGTGTATAATATACTTTATACGACACAGACGACTGCTGCGGACCCGGAGGCGGCAAGGCCACCTTATATTATGCATAATACCTATTACAAATATCAAATAACGCGGGTCATAAGACTCGTTATATTGTATAATATATGGATTGAAGTACCCTATGTGATTAAATTATTATGTAGGTACTTATTCTACAATATTCCTCGTGAATCCAATAGGAAAAACGTGTCGTCCACGAATTCCACCGCCGTTCGGTAGATTTTACGACCGTATATCGTTGTGTACAATTGTTATTGAAATAAGTATACGTTTCCGAGAAACGATATTCGTAAACACACGTCTTGTATGACGGTGCTCGTAGTAGCGGAGCAATAATACATTGAATTTAAATTTGACTAGGTATATGAATCGTTATTGCAAAGTCAAACAAAACAAAATAAGTATACCTACGTTTGAATGATAAATTAACGACGAAATTAAAACGTCGTTTGCTTATTACCTACTGCCTGTATAGTGTTTGTGTTACGTTTAAAAATTATGAAAATAATTTTCATGTATTCTAATCATCGAACATACTTCACATAGTGATTATAATATTATATAATATTCTATAGATTTTACCGTATTGTAAGTAACTCTATTAGCAGATATAAATGTCTAAAATTAAGGAATACTCAAGAACTTTTATCAGTTTTGAGTATTGCTATTGCCTATTTGGCATTTGCTTGTACTATGCTATGCAATAGGGAAGAACAGTGTAAAAAAGTCCCTTATCGCCGTTAGTTTTAAACAAAAGTGTGTTCAATTTGAATTCAGTAATAAATCATTATATATTATCATAGTATTGTTCGATACTTGTCATTTTATTTTGTATATTATTTAAAAGTATATCATATTTTTAATATAAAATACTTTGATTCTGAATTTTTTTTTCGAGATTCATATTACAAGTTAAAGTTAGATCATACACGTTCATATACATTTTATCAGTTAATTTTATTTGCAATATTTTCGTGCTTCAGTCCCCTGTGGTCTGCGAATGATAATCTTGAATCGTTACCCACGCGCGGTGCATTTAATGTTTCAAATTTTCGTAGCGCTGTACGATTTAAGTCGCAATGCTAACATCGCGCCCACAAAGCCACAGATTCTAACACACTAACAACTTACATCGTTTTAAGTCATTACCAACAACATTTTTTCACAATTTTTTTCTTTATATTTTTTTTTAATTTTTACTTTTTTGAATGACAATAACAAACAATTTTCATTTCATATTCCGCGAAGCAGAATAGTATTCCGATCTATAAAAATCAAATGTATTAGTTACAAGTATTTAAAGTTTTGATTAGCAGAGTAGTGAGCCAACATTTTGCGGGGTATTCTTGCAGTGCACCACTCTGCTCGCTTCGCCAGACTTTAAATATGTACTTATAAAGTTAACAACTCAGAAGCAAAATTAAATTTGTATTAAATATTAATCCATATACTTCAAAAAATATTTTGCTTTTCAAAAATGTTAATTGAGTTTTTTGAAACATTGAGTGTGTTGTTATATATTAATTAGATCACTTTATATCAGTGTTTCTTAACCTGTGTTCAGCGGAACCCTAGGGTTCCGTGGACCTGACTTAAGGGTTCCGCGAAAGCACTTTATCTACATCATCTATCATTTATACTTTTTTAAAGATAATTTTCATATAAGGGTTTCGCATAAAAACAATATATTTGTTTGGTATTCCGTGATATCAAAAAGGTTAAGAAACACTGCTTTATATAATAGCAGTGAAATGGCGTATATACTGTAGAGCACTATATATACTCTATACCAATAATATTTAGTTTCTATTAATGCTTTCAGGATATCTACTAGTATAGTATGATAATATCTACATTTTAATTATTGATCCACTGTATATTTACAATTTCCTTCTGGGGGGTGAAATAAGAAAAATAAAATCTTAGCATCAGATGAACATTGTTTATTTTATATTTTTATATGGCCAACAGTATACTGTATAGAGTAAATAGTTTAACCATTATAGGCAGGCTCGTCGTTCGATATTTTCAGCAGCAAAGCAAACATTTTAATGCCACTCTTCTTTAGCGATATTTATCCAATTTTGCCGCCTTCGATTCCTTTAAAATGTTATGTCACCTTAAAGCAATTAGGCTAAGGCAAGTCAACGTCACGCATTTAACTAAAAATTCGTCGGTAGTCGCATACACCGTCCTCGCTAACTTCACGTAACACGTAAGTACCCACTATTTTTTCGACACAATATATAGATAAACAACTATAGCGTAATCATTGATAATTAATAATATTAATAATATAAGTTTGCATGGTCACCCGCACACACATATATGCGTACGATATTGTAAATATTGTAATTCGTAACCTTGTATAGGGTTTGTATTAATTGTAACCTACTAATAGTCGTTGACTCCAAAAACCGCACACTTTTGATAAAATACAAGACAAAACCTCACACTTTTGGTAGCTTAAAACGGCACAATTTTAAAAATTATTGTCGTATCCAAAAACCGCACAGTTATGAACCCCAAAAAGGTCGATACACAAAAAACGCATATGTATGTATATAATTAACTATTTATTCTAATTATTCTTATTACAATCAAAAAAAATGTATATACTCAATAATTTAAAACATTGATTAACAAAAATGTAAAACTAAAAATGTATATATTCAATAATTTTAAAATCCATTACAAAAATTTAAAATATTAATGTTTTTACACAATTTATAGACTGTAGGTACACTATAACCGACTCGAGATCAACTAATAACGAGTGGAAACTAAAGACTTGAAAATTGTATAGTACTTATGTCTTATAATCTTATGTTTTCACTATTTCTTCTAAAAACAGTGGGAGGTTTTAACCCCCTAATAGTACTATATCAAAGGTCTCCGTAATGCGTTAAACTGTATCACTATAAATGTAGTCAATTATTTTTATTTCACAAACGGGTGTGTATAAAACGATTAAGACATTATAATAATATGCGAAACGATGTGTGGCTATAATATTATTATGTACACACGAGCATAAAAAAAAAAACGCAAACGGTGATGTACGCGAGTATCAAACTTGACGTTTTGCATCGCGTACGTTTTAATAAAATAAAAATTATTTTATTATTATAACATAATATATAAATATTATATGAAACGGTCTCGCGCAATAATTAGGTCTGCGGTAATTCGTTTCGTTGCGTAACCGGCCCGGAGGCGCGGATCGACGGCGATCGCGGTACGTTCGTAATAATCTAATAAAGTATATCTATACCTATTATACGCGATCGTTTTGAAAACAACCTCTCGTTCCCGTGGCGCTTCCAATGACGGCTGCGACGCGGTCGCAATGCTCGTAATATAGTGTGATTATTATTGTACCAACATTTACCTATACTCGTCGTCTGTACCAGCGAGAAACTCGTATGCGCTAATAGTGTCCGAACGCTCGTCCTAGAATACCAAATAGGTAACACATTACCTGCAATAATATATACATAGATATATAGATATGGTATACTTACAGCCAATTTTGGTAAGTAATTGTAATTTGCGCCACCGATATTTCGATCGCTTGTAAAATGTGAGTGTCACCTATAACGTGTAACGGCGATAGCTGCCATAGTGAGCTTGACGGTGAAGTGGGTGCTGAATATGACTGCATTGAGAGGGTGACCGAAACACGGAGTGGACGACGAACGCTATATGTAATATCGGTGCTGCGGTATCAGCGGCGACCGGAGACGTCGCGACACGGCCGACGGTATTAAACCTGCACTGGGCGAAAAAGGGAGAGCATCGGCGGACCAAACAACAAACGCACCGCCGTCCCGATACACGCTGTCCGTGGTTTTCGCACTGGCGTCCGCTCGGCACAGCGTTTGACACGTCTGGTGGCTTGAGACGTGCAGCAGCCATGCACTTCTTATTCTTGCGGTACATCGGTCTTCATATTCCCTTCCCGATAAGCCGCAAATTCAACTGCCTCGTCTGACATTTCACGAGTCAACAAAGTCTTCCTTTCTACACTTTATCGGTAGTTGCAGTGGGCAGGCAAACAGATGGTCTGCATCCTGCTCCTAGCCGAATTGGTTTTTCCGTCCTCTTTTATTCCTTATTTTTTCATATTACTCGCTGGGCTGCACTGCCGGACCCCGCGACTTTCGTTTCTGCGCTGATGTCCATTGTCCCGTGTATAGCTACCTATTTTACAGTTCACTCACTCGTCGTGTGCTGTGAAGTCGCCGCCCTGGAGTGTCGCCTCTGTGCAGCCTCGTGACACTGTTACTGGTGCCGTCGAGGCGGCGTCGTCGTTACCAGCGCCGGTACATCTAGCCACCGTAGTCGTCACTACGCACTACGCACTAAAGCAGTCGCCAGAAGATCTAGTCCGCAACATGAGTAGGCGATGTATATAAGATTATCAAAGTCAAAAGTTATACCTATATTAGTAGTCTATGATTATTAAATCTAACTTACTGTGAACGT